TCAACACACCTGGTGTCCGATTTAAACCCCATCCCCTCAACACACCTAATGTCTGATTTAAACCCCACCCCCTCAACACACCTGGTGTCTGATTTAAACCCCACCCCTTCAACACACCTGGTGTCCGATTTAAACCCCACCCCCTCAACACACCTAATGTCTGATTTAAACCCCACCCCCTCAACACACCTGATGTTTGATTTAAACCCCACCCCCTCAACACACCCGATGTCTGATTTAAACCCCACCCCCTCAACACACCCGATGTCTGATTTAAACCCCACCCCCTCAACACACATGATGTCTGATTTAAACCCCACCCCCTCAACATACCTGGTGTCTGATTTAAACCCCACCCCCTCAACACACCTGGTGTCTGATTTAAACCCCACCCCTTCAACACACCTGGTGTCCGATTTAAACCCCACCCCCTCAGCACACCTAATGTCTTATTTAAACCCCACCCCCTCAACACACCTGGTGTCTGATTTAAACCCCACCCCCTCAACACACCTGGTTTTCGTCTTACTGCTGAAGGTTTAAATGTTCATGTTTAGAAATCGTTTAGCTGTAATCAGTTACTTCCTGTTTGTGTGAGGCAGAGTGGGCGGGGCTTATAACAGCAGATTTTACAGCTTCACTGTCTGACGACCTGATCACTGACCCTCTCAGCTGCACTCGACAGGATCACGTTCTGAAAGACAGAAACACCTTTCAGCTCTCAGGTTGCACCTGTGATGTCACAGTGATGATGTCGTTCAGCAGCAGCCAATCAGAGCGAAGATTCTCACCTTTGCTTTGCAACTCTCCATCAGACAGACGGCGTTGGCGATGGTGTAGCGCCTCATGGTGGTGTCTCTGATGGCAGCGGCGTAGGAAATCTCAAACATCACACCTCTGTCTATGGCCTGAACACACACACATGCAGTAAACGACGACAACAAACAAACAAACAAACAAACAAGGGTCAGGTCGTCACCCCGTTGATGGGTGCTCTCTTGAAGAAGAAAGGAAGTTTCTCCGTCACCGCGATGCAGATAATGTCGACGTCGTACAGCATGCAGGCCGCCTACACGCCACACACACAACAAACACACACAATGTAAGATGTTCGGTTTGGTCCTTCAGAGCCACCGTAGAACGTTTCTTTGAGTAAATCACATGTCTGTAGCCAACTGAGAGTTCCCGAGGTTGGTGAAAGCATCATGCAGCTGCAGCGCAGAGATGAACAGAGTGTCAGTGAAGCTCACATGGAAGAGTTTCTCTGTGGTCGGCTGGACGGCGAGGAGGTCGAACCGCCGATACTCAGAAGCGTTGGGCCGCTGAGAACACACACACACACACACACACACACACACGTGAGTCCACCACACTGTCAGCTCAGTGGTCTCTCGCGCTCTCTGGACTCACAAAGTGACTGGCGTCTGACATCACCACCGTCAACCTGTTGAGCACTCTGATTGGACGAGAGCGACCCTGCACCGCAGGCAGCGGACCCATCAGATCACCGATCGGCACCGGGGAGGGAACCTCCTACAAACAGGAAGTGAACTTCAGATTTGTTTCTGATGATCCAGAACAAGTCGCAGCAGTTTAACGCAGCGCTGCTTCCTGTCCCAGTTTTCCTGCTGTCCCTGAATGCAGCGTGACAGGTGACCTCACCTGTTTCTTCTTGGTTGATGGTTCAAACACATAGTTCACGGCAACAGTGGAGAATCCAACTGCAGGAGGAACAAACACACCATCAACCACCAGTTTAAACTGGTCTGAGGAACAAACACACATCAACCACCAGTTTAAACTGGTCTGAGGAACAAACACAC